GTTTCCAAAAGCTAAAGCTTCTCTGCTTTCTGTTTCTCAACCATTTACTAGGTTTCTCTATTTCATATATTGGTACATTAAGTTTATTGTTACTGAGTTAAAGGGTTTGATATCAGGACTTTAAGATCCAGGTAAAAATGACATGTGACCCTCACACTCTGTAAAGCTGAACCACGCCTAAAAAGAGAAGACAAAAACTAAATCAATCAAAATATAATTAAAACATCATATAACCATGATCCTCCAATGATCAGCGTCCAAAACATGAAAGAACCCAATAAACATAAATGAGAAGCCACATTTCAATTATTTCAGATAAATTGTCTTTAAAAAAAAAAAAAATTTTACATAGTCTGGAAGAGAGAAGGCCAGTATGTACTGTAACAATGATTAATTCAACAATTCATGTTCAACTCCACAATAGGTATTTTCTTACCATGGTCGGTCCAGGAGCCTCAGCTACTTTGTCTTTAACTGTAAGAGGACACCACTTGTCCCTCCTCTGACCAGCTGTCCATATATTTCACCTGTTCCTTACAGTACAGTAATTTATGCCATGAAACTTTGTTCCTATTCAGCTAACATTGTTAGAGAGTCATGAAGCAAACAATCAAAGAGTCATGAAGTCCTGGTGACACGTCTCATAGTCCAGTACATCATTTCCTCAATGTACTGGGGGACAGTACATGAGATCTTACCTGCCAATTTCCTCATATAATCCTGCTAAATTTATTAAACACATGAGAACAGCAACACTCTGAAAGATGCCTAACATAAGTCATTCATATTAAACCACTTGACCTCAGGTGGAACATCCAACAACAGTGCATGTAGATTTGGAACTTCAATTTAAAATGCACTACAATCTCAATTAAAGATCTACAAGAATTAACACATTGCTTAGATAATGTAGAGGATGTACTAATTTACACTTGCGTTTGTCCACTATCACTACTGGCAAGATTGAAGTATTACTGCATAAATTTTGCTACATAATCATTGACCCTATATGTTTTAACCCATAGTCTATATTTACCACAAAACATGTGAAGAGCTGTTTTCCCTTTTTTCTTTCTTCTTATTGGCGCCACCTATTTCTCTATTATGATAAGGGAAAATTATATTTGAACCTTCTCTTTCTTAAATCAAATATATGAGTGTACTTGTGTGCTTGTTCCCTTCAGGTTGGTGGGGAGTTCCTGCCTCAAGTGGCGGAGTTCAAGTATCTTGGGGTCTTGTTCACGAGTGAGGGAAGGATGGAACGGGAGATTGACAGGCGGATCGGTGCAGCTTCTGCAGTAATGCGGTCGATGTACCGGTCCGACTCACTCTTTGTCTTTCGCCCCCACAGCATTTTGGTTTTGTGCAGTCAGAACCACAATGTCACATTCCAGCCACCAGTTCTTGCAGCTCAGCAGTCTTTCCTTGCTCTGGAACTGCAGGAAATAGAGTTTGAAGAAGTCAGCAAGATTCACACTGTCTTTATTGTTGTCCCTGTGATGAATACTTAAGAGGGGGACCCTGCCCCTTGTTCATAGGTCCCCATGCCCCAGGGTGCCCCTGTTGCCCCGGGGCCAGTCTGCCACAAGACTACTCAGGGCACCTGTCGCTCACATGCCCCCACTTTCCACAGTGGAAGCACCTTGCTCTTTGGCCTGCAGGAAACCTTCTTGTCCTCTGAGGCCTTCCAGCCCACCCCCCCTGGCTGTGCGTATATTAGCTGGGGGATGACGATGGCAGGCACTAAAGATGGAGGGGATCTGGCTGGCTCAGCAGGAGTCACAAGCACAGGCACCTTTTTCTTCCATCCTTTTCCAGCCGGGGAACAAAGCACCCCTTTACGTTGGTGTGACATTGGATGAACAGAATGGGGGAGTTTGGGTGTAGCTCCCCCTTGGTCATAACTCACCTCAGCTTCCGGCTTTGGTCTGGGGATGGGCACCCGTGTAGTACCAGATGGAGCAGAGCAGAGCACCTCCCCGTTTGCCACCTCACTGCACTCATGGTCTGTCTTTCTCTTCTTCCTGCACAAACTTCACAATCTGATTATGAATCTCAGTTAAACGTCTGGGATTTTTACCAGAAAGCTTTAATGCTTTTATATATATGTCAAGCAAATCAATTATTTCATCTTTCAGCTTGTCCAACCTGGGCTGTTTTTTCACTCATAATTTCAGCATGACTACTAAATAATTGCAAGACAGCAAGTTCTCGTTCATGTTTGCAAACACGCTTTGCAGATTTATCTTTAGCCTTATAATTAATTATCAGCATTTTCATCTCATCACGCAAGTGTCGCGTTCTCCTGTTCCACTTTTGAGATACTTTATAAATTTCCTCCGCCAGCAACGGATTTTTATTCCCAATCACTATGACTGGAGACGTGTTTATCATGACTTCTTAGGCAGTCACGTCTTTCAAAATACACCTATTTTTGACTATGATCAACTAAATTGGAGGAATGCATAACTGTAAAACATGCAACCGACCACAAAACTAATTTTTTCAAACCCTCTTTTAAACTCTCTGTTTCAACTCAAATTAGATTATATTCACTTCCTTATCATTACCCATGTTCCAGTATAAGGCACTGAAAATGCAGTTCAGCAACAGTTTAAAGCTACTACTTTAGACTTTACCAATGTAGAAAACTGTTTAAATTTACATCCTATCTTACTGCCTTAAGCTTAACTCTCTCCCTCCTCTGTGTCTCTGTGCACGTTTACGTCACAGACACACAGAACTGCTCAGGGGGAGGGCAAGAGGTGGAGCAGACGGCACTGACCAGCACTGACTTCCAGTTTTCCAGTTTGTATCCGACTGGTGAAAGTGAGACTAAAAAAAAAAAAATTTACAGGCAGCAG